TAAAATTATGAAGGGAATAGATAAGATAGAAGTAGAGAGGATGTTTCCACTGGCAGGTGGAGCTAGGACAAGAGGGCATAGCCTCAAGATTAGAGGGAGCAGATTTAGGACTGAATTGAGAAGGAACTTCTTCACCCAGAGGGTTGTTAATCTATGGAATTCCTTGCCCAGTGAAGTAGTTGACGCTACTTCAGTAAACGTTTTTAAAGATAAGGTAGATATCTTTTTGAACAATAAAGGAATTAAGGGATACGGTGAGAACGTGGGTAAGTGGATCTGAGTCCATGAAAAGATCAGCCATGATCTTATTGAACGGCAGAGCAGGCTTGGGACTGGACGCCTACTCCTGCTCCTAGTTCTTATGTTCTTATGTTTCAGACTATAAAACTGTAGGTGCGTTGATTTGTGGCTGGTCCTTCACTGTTGGTTTATGGTTTTAGCAAGTAGAAAGTGTAATGGATGAAGCTGCCAACATTTCTAGCATTAAAACTGGCATTAAAACAAAGCACTTATTGATGTTAGCATCATGTCAGTTTTCACACTTTTTTGTTTCTTTGTGACAGTAAGTAGAAGCTTTCGAGGCCATCAGAATTGGTGCCTTTTTTACTTGCTAGCTGTCACCAAAAATATTTTTTTTGGATTAGCACTCTCTGAATTTCAATCCTAATGTGAAATGTGCACCAAATCAGTGATTTAAAGGGGTTTGAAGAAACAAACAACTAACATTTATATTGTACTTTTTGATGCAAGCCTGCTTGAATGGACAGACGAGGCTACAGCTTAATGCCTCATCTAAAAGATGGCACCTTGAACATTGCAGCCTTCCCGCTAATGCACTGAAATGTCAAACTGGATTATATGCTCATGTGTTTAGCATGGGATGTGAAAACATGTGTTTTCATTCCTATTTCCTACCATCAAACCAAACATCTTTTGTTAATCTGCCCTGAGTAACACAAACTTTGAAAATGTGTGTCATTTAGGTTGTCACATTGCAAAATTTCCTGCATTTTTACAATAGTATTGGGATGCTAATATTTTTCAGTCAATGGAAGTATTAGATCTGAGAATGAAACTACAAAATTGGATGTACCTGTGCCTGACTCTAGCCCCACCTCTTCAATGCCAGAGTGAGTAGTTATGATTATGAATGCTAAAATGTTCCACCTTTTTAAAACTGTTACTTGATTCTTATGAGACTTGTTATGATTTCTCAGGAGTCTTTAGTTAATGCTACACATCGTTTAGAGATCAGTTATAGCCAAGACAATTGCCTTAAGCTCAACTAATGTTTTGTAAGGATTGAAAAGTAAGAAATGATGCAAAGATCATCAATAATTTTAGCATTCTAGTACTGGATTGGACACCTGGAAGAATCGTGACCTCAATGTTCAGTCATGGGGAAAGTTGGTAGCTAATTCATCAAAGACCTAAATTGCATGCAATTTATCAAACAGACTATGTCAACTGTGAAATGAGGATTTGTGATAGCATCAAGTTGGCTTTTTTTTTTTTGTAAGTTTGTAGTACAGTTTCCAGCTCAAGGGAGAGGTGGTTGTGAATGAGCTAAGCAACAAGAACCAAGACTGGCTTGAACAAAGATTGAATATCATAAACATTTGGAAACATTCCAAGATCAAATTTATTAAAGTACAGAGCAGTCTTATGTGAATGTGAAGGAGTGTGATGAATGACATTAGGACTTTATAGCCATATGTGTTGCAAAATACTGAACTTGATTTAGGTCAGGGTTGTAATAAAATTTAGAACCCATATATTGGCCCACCTAGTCCACACTGACCTTCCAAAGAGCACCCAGCCAGACACTGCGCACCCCCCCCCCCATCCCCTGGAACCCTGCATTTTCCCATAGCCAATCCACCTAACATCCACATCTTTGGACTGGGAGGAAACTGGAGCACCTAGAGGAAACCCATGCAGAGACAGTGAGAATGTGCAAACTCCAAAGGGTAGTTGCCCAAGAGTGGAATTGAACCTGGGTCCCTGGCGCTGTGAGGGCAGCGGTGCTAACCAGTGAGCTGCCATGCCACATTATTAGAATTATGAAGTTCAGAAGGCCATTGGGCCCATTGTTCCTACAATGGCTGTTTGAAGCAGCAAGGCAATTAATTCCATTTTTTTATTTTTTTTCCTTCTGAAATCCTCAGTTTTGTTCTCCAAGTGTTTATCCACACACTTCTAAAAGCTATTCTGTTTGCACCACTATTTCAGGCTGTCTATTCCACATCAATATAACCTGCTTATTTCTTTTCTTGCTATTGCTGATTCTTTTGCTAACTTGCTTAATTCTGTACTCTCTTTGAATACTTACCCTTTCAACAAAAATTGTTTTATTTGGGCATGCTGTGAAATGTGCAGAATAAATTAGACTTTTGCAGAGGATGACACCTCTGCAGTGGAACGTAAATCCACTTTTTCATTTTATTACAGTTTTAACATAAAGACAAAGCGCTATTAATCTACCAGGCTATGGGCCAAGTGCTGGAAGACAAGATTAGCATAACTAGATTGAATTTGCCATCAAAACAATGGGCTGAAGGCCTTTTTCGGTGCCACAGACGTCTGACTCTATGCCTCCTGCCTTAATTTAAGAAAGCCAAACTCTCTTTTAATTTAGTATGCTTCATTAGATATGGTACCCTGTTGAATTAGAATTTCCTTTTTCATTTTAGACAGGTTGAGACAAAAGTCACAGCATTGATGACAGACTGCATATTAAATGCATGTTTGACTGTGTCATCCCCCAGGGCTGGCTGGGACAGCAAAAGTAAATTTTACACAGCAGTGTAGTGTTATGCTGAGGATGGGGATTAAGCCATATTGCTAACTGGAGACCACCAAGTTTTACGCTGCATGTGATTCTCCTGATACCTTGATTGTTACTAGGTGACAAAGAAATGTTTCTACTTTGTAGTAATTAATGCATTGTATAAATCTTTTAATACCCTTGTCTGCATCTTTAGGCCAGATGTAGGTGATCATTCTGTGACTGAGGAAGCTGGTGAACCAGAGAGAGCACCTTCCGATTCAAGTACTCGTAAGGAGAGTCTAATTGTCCAATTGGTACATGAAGATGATGAAGAACTGGTAAATCGGCAGTCAACTGTCACACTTCTAAAACCTGAAGATGATGACTATGATTATAATAAAGGCAGCTGGCATGAAACTGAAACACAGATGTACTGCAGTGAACTGCCCACTATTTCTTGTATTTCTAGTTTCCCTGAGTACATTTACAAATGCTGCTTTCTTGCTGCAGCCCTCCAACGGCAACGCAGTGTGACGTTTGGTGGTGAAACCATCGAACCAGTTTCTGACATCCAGCTTCTAACTAGGCAAGAGGAGCCTCTTTTAGTAAATGAAACAAAAGAAACAGGGGGCGAATTGGACAGCTTGATGCCTGAAAAAGTGTCTACAATTAGCAATGAAAGTCAGTTTAGTACTAATTTGTCCGAGAATTTATTTAATCACACTGACTCTATTGAGTTGGAACCCAGCCATCCTCCACCTGCTTCGCATTCTCCTGAAGTCAGTACATCTGATATAAAATATGATGTGAAATGTACTGCCATTCTTCAAAGTTCTCATCATGGTATCACTGACACACTGGCTGACCAGGTCCATCTTCAACCAGAGCTTACTGTACCTATTCTGGATCAAGGTACAGAACCTAAACTGGAGACACCACAAAAAGAAGCAACTAAAGGTCTAGAAGAAACTTTGCTCATATTAGAAACTGAAACTGCTAATGAGACTAGTTTGGGGGTTTTATTAAATGGGTCTGTGAATGCAAACCAAGAAACTGCTCAAGTACCAATAACCCCCACAGTACCTATACAGACAGCTGATACTGTAGTCGAATATCCAACAACTGAGATTCAGAATGAAACAGCTAGTGGTAAAAGTACCTTGGTAGAATCGGAAGTACCTTTGCTGCCTTCAGGTTCAGATATGTCATCAGCAACAGAGATAAAAGATGAAGAACAAGCTGCAGAAGATATCCTCCTGTCTGTTCCATCCTCAAATGGGCTAAACAGAACAGTTACTGATTTCTATGCAGAATTGCACAATGTTACTGATTTGGGATACACTAACGGGAATCAAGTACATGGATCCAACCAAAAGGAATCTGTATTTATGCGTCTCAACAACCGTATTAAAGCATTAGAAATGAACATGTCGCTCAGTAGCCGCTATCTGGAAGAACTGAGTCAGCGGTGTGTATAATAACTTGCAGTGTCTTTGCACATTTTTAAAACTTTGATCTAAACAGTTTTTACTTGCTAGATATGAAATTGTTTCATTTAATCCATGTATTTCTTTTTGTAGCAAAATAATTCGTTGAAATCTGTTCTGTGGTAATGCAGCTGGTCAGCCAATATTGCATCAAAACAGAATTTTATATAAGATTTCTCCTGTGGAGTTCTCCACGTTCTCAATGGTCTGAGGCAGGTTCATAGGATCAAACAATTGTTATAGTGCTGAAGGCAGCTGCTTGTCCCCTTCTGTATACACTAGCTCTTCAAATGAAGAATTCACTCCATTGTTCTCCTGTCTTCTCCCTGTAATCCGAAACATTATTCATTTTCATTTTAAGATTTTGAAATACTTTTGAATGCTTTCAGTGAACCATCTGTTCTACTTGGTCAGACACTGTAATCCAGACCTAAACTACTTGCTGAATGAAAAGCTTTTCATTCAGCATCTATTTGCTATATTTAAAAATTGCTTTTAAATCCATATCCTCGTTCTTGATCCTTTTTAATGACTGGGAACAGTGATCCTATCTAATCTGTCGAGACCACCTCATGATTTTGAATGTCTCCTGGGTTTTCATCCTTTTATCTAAAGAAAATGATCACAACCTCCCCAGTGACCTTCAAATCTGAAGCTTCTCATCCCTGGAGCCAGTCACGTGAATCTTTTTGCTTTCCCCTTCACATTCTTCCTATAGTGCAATGCCAAGCATAGAAAGCATGATTCCAATTCATGCCAAACTGGTCCACTAGTTCAAGATAACCAACTCGTTTTGTACCCCACTTCCCTATTATTGAAGACTTGGCATAGTGTATGCTTTATTAAAGACTGCCACATCCCGCACCCCTCAAAAAAAAAATCTTGTACTCACACCTTTGGTCACTTCAGCACAGAATAAAGCCGGTCCATTTGCTCCTGCACCACTTTTTCTTACTCTCTCTACCCCTAGGGTTCTACTGTTTCATTTTTTTTTCCAAAACAAATCACGTCACATTTCTCACCATTGAACTTCACCTGCCACTGTCCTCCCATTCCAATAATTTGACTGGCTTTTCAAAATTCTACATTGCTCCTCCCAAAAATGGTTCACAAGGTTTTGCATTGCCCTCCAATTTTGAAATTCTGTGCTACTTCTCAAGGTAAAGGCCCTTTTTAACATTCATCAAAAAAGCAAAGATCCCAATATGACACATTTTGTGGAATTGTATTATAAGCCTTCTTCCAAGCTGAAAAGAACGCACGAACTGCTAGTGTTCTGTCACTTAGTCAATTTTATATCCATGTTGCTACTGTGTCTTTTGTTCCAGGAGTAATTAACTTCCACACGTCTGTGTGGCACTGTTGTGGTTGCGTTTCATCAACCTCAAAATTGCCTTCACCGCATCGGTTGTAGTGATTGTAATAGGCCATATTTCTTGTGTTCCACACCATTTGGGAAAAGTTCCAGTATTTAAGTCAAACAATTTTTTTCTTTTTTGATAAATCATCACTTTAGCAAGTGAGATGAACAAATAGTAGTGAGTAAAAATAAGTATTGCTTTGATCCCCTTTTCAGATAAAGGGATAATATGGTTGCTGTTTTCTGTAGTCGGGGCTCAATTTGCTACCATAGCTGCTTTGAGGTGGAAAAAGGGAATTGAGGTCTGACACCTTCCATTTATTTGATATGCAATGGTACTGTACATTGTTTTAAGTATCCTTGATGCCAGTCCAGTGGGACTTTGGTCAATATTTGTTACTATTACGAGATGGTTATTGTTCTGTTCTCAATTTTCTCCAGGAGAAAAATGGTTGGCCCAGGAAAGTTGACATTTCGGATCAGGACCCTTCAGAACTGGGAGGGGGAAGGTAGCTGGGAAATAGAGAAGGGGTGGGGCTGGGGAAGGTAGGTGGGATGGTGACCGGTTAATGCAGGTAGGGAGTGGTGGGGATTAGTCAGTGGGATGGGTGGGGCAGATAGGTGGGACAGAAGGTGGACAGGTTATCAGGCCAAAGAGGTGAGGATGAGAGGGAGGCTTGGACATAGGATGAGGCAAGGTGTGGGGAGATTTTGAAACTGGTGAAATCTATATTAGGCCATTGGGCTGTAGGCCCCCGAGGCGGAATTTGAGCTGTTGCTCCTCCAGTTGGCGTGTGGTGTCGTTGTGGCACTGTTACAAATTGGAGGAGCAACATCTCCTATTCTGTCTCTGGAGCTGACAGCTAAACATAGAATTCACCAGTTTTAAAATCTCCCTGCACCTGGCCTCATCCGGTGTCCTACCCCTCCTCTCATCTTCACCCACCTTTTGACCTGACCCAGCGGGTCCATCTTCTCTTCCACCTATCTGCCCTACCCATCCCACTGACCAATTGCCATCACTCCCTACCTGCATTCACCTGTCACCATCCCACCTGCCTTCCCCAGCCCCACCCCTCCTCCCTCAACTTATTTATTTCCCAGCTCCCTTCCCCTTCCCCTTCCCCATTTCTGAAGAAGAGTCTTGACCTGAAACGTCAACTTTGCTCCTCTGCTACCTGACCTGTGTTCCTCCAGCTCCATACTGTATTGTTTCTAACTCCAGCATCTGTAGGTTTTGCCAGCTCTGAAAAATGTGTTGACAGGAATTCATGTATCCATTCATTTTCGTTTTGAGGCATGAGATGCTACTTCTCTAGCTGGTTGGAGTGATGGATGGATCAAATCTTATTTAAGATTTAGGGAATGCATGCAGAATGAATGCTGATGTTTAGTGGTTTGCTTGGAGGAAAATGTCCAATCTCTGCTCAGCCAGGGGTGAGGTGGTTTATTGTGGTGATCAAACCTCCTTTTCTACTTTGTCCAAATATTCCTCTTTTCCTCCACAATGTGTGGTGGGTTTTTTTTATTGGGGGAAGCATTAGTTGGAAGATGAAGGGTGGAGGAATGGATTTGATATCCTTTCACCTTGGTCAATTGGCCAGCAAATTGCATTAATTTTAGATTTCTAGGTATTCCCAATTTATCAATCTGTCAAATTGGGCAGGAGCAGCCTCTGTTAAAAGCCTCCTGATAACTTTATTGTGCATGGTAAAATGGTTAAATTTTCCAGAGCTGTTTAGTTTCCCAAATTTGGTCTTTTTATTTTATGCATGTAGTGACCACATGGATGAGTAGCCACTTGTTGGGAATGTACTTTCTCCGAATAAATAAGTAAGGCATTCACCTTGTGACTCTTCTTTCAGCGTATAGGTGAAGGCAAGCAGATTGAGATATGCACCTTGTATTTAGGAAAGGGTCATATCTGATTTCTGCAAGGTTGACGGTCAATTTATTTATTGGTGAACTTTATTAATTTCATGTAAGAAACAACTTCAACCAAAATTTTTTATCATAAATCTTTGTACACAGTTTAAGAATAAGGAGCAGAATTAGGCAATTGGTCCCTTAACCCATTTGGTTAGATCATGCCTGATCTGAATTGTGGTCTGTTGCCATTTCATAGATTTTTGACCTGTATGGGAGTCAAAAATTGATGTTGGAACACTTGGTTATTCACATGAATTCAGTAAGTTCAGGGCAAAGGAGAACCTTGAATTAATGGTATTTGATATGATTTGGGACTTTAAAACATCTAGCTTTTTTTTTGAGAGAATAGGGTCTTTCTGGGGATCATGTTAAAGGCATTAATTGTCTGTTTTTTCTCACATCCATTCAACTTCAATTTGTATTTGTTTTTGGTATTTATGAAACTCAACTTCATGCTGCAATATTTAATCCTTTCGCTTGCTTGGAATTTTTACTGTATTTTGTTCATGAAGGAATGGTGTTGCAGTAAGGGTTCACTGGAACAGCTGCCGCACAACCAGGTGGTGACATTTTGATCAGCTAATCACCAGTGTCACTTTTTTGAAGGCAGTATCTTTAGACTGAGATCAAAAGTGGTCTTTAATGCATAATAAGACACTATTCTTAAGCTTTTTCAGTGGATTAGATCTTACTTGATTTCAAGGGATAAGATAGAGAAATTCCTTTTTAATCCAACCCCATTGCATACATGTGCTGCCTGTTTCTATGTCTGATTTCTCTGCTTCTTAACCACTTCCAGATAGTTTTCTGGTGGCAGTGTTTGGTGTTTTTTTTTGTATTAGTCTTGAAATTTGATCTTTTAAAGCTTCAGTAGCCCTTCTATTAGGCTGATTTCCTTGCATTATCCAACTGTACTGAAACTTGATCAATTATTAGTTATTTGTGAACTCTAATGGTTATTTCTCCAAATTTAATGTTTTATTTAAGTGAGTGCAGTTAAATTATTTGGATGTTTGCTTGATTAGCTTTGTGATTCCATAAGCTTTGTTAATTTTAACAATTGTGATCTGTAGAATGGAAGGCCATTGCCTTGCTGAGGTACATACAGTACAGCAAGCTTCACTGGTTCATTCAGGCTGTTGCAATTTGCCATTGTATTGTTGAGAAAGAGATACTTTGCTTTCTAGGTATCGCAAACAAATGGAAGAAATGCAGAAGGCATTTAACAAGACCATTATAAAACTACAGAACACTTCAAGAATTGCTGAGGAGAAGGTATTTTGTATGCCAATGTTTCTAAGAGATAAAATTGTTTTAGAATAATGTACTTTCTCCTGAGTCTTCCAGACTAAGAAAATTGAGTTGACAGCAGCAGTGTAACTGCTTTTATTTTGTATTCTGTTTGGTTGTGTTTGTCTTTTTTGTGCTGTTCACACCTAGAATTTGGTGGTGGGTGGCAGCATGGTGGAAATCCTTTCCTCATTGGATGAGGGCGTCACTGGCTAGACAGCATTTATTACCCATCCCTAATTGCTCAGAGGGCAGTTAAGAGTCAACCACATTGCTGTGGGTCTGTAGGCCAGACCAGGGTAAGGATGGCAGTTTCCTTCCCTAAAGGACATTAGTGAACCAGATGGGTATTTCCAACAATCGGCAATGGATTCATGGTCATCATTAGACTCTAAATCCAGATATTTATTAAATTCAAATTCCACCATCTGGGTCCCCAGAACATTATCTGGGTCTCTGGATTGACAGTCCGATGATAATACTACTAGGCCATCACCTCCTCTCCCCTCTGTAGATCTAGATTTATAATCCAGAGAGCCAGGCTAATGCTTTGCAGATATGGATTCAAACCCCACAAATGCAGATGGTGAAATTTTCAATTCATTTAAATCATCTGAAACGATGACCATGAAACTACTTTTACCGTTTTGTACAAAAGCTCATGAGGTTCACTAATTCCTCTTTAGGGAATGTCATTATCCTTGCCTATGTGTGACTTCAGATCTACAGCAATATGGCTTATTCTTAACTGACCTCTGACAGTTGTATCTGCCTACAGTGGAGCCTAAAGAACAGAATCAAATTGATCCATTTAGCATCAACAGAAACTGATGGTGAGCCCACCCTTGTCGACTCTGCAAAGCCCTCACTCATCTCTGGAGGCTTGTATTAAAATTGGGAGAACTGTCACACGGACTTGTCAAGCCTATCGTATATTCAGAATTGTAACCTACACACAGTATCCAAGCACCAGTCCTACTATTATCCATCCAACTGGCGGGACAGAACTGAGTGGTAGCAACGTTGGGAATTGCCTAAGGCTAGCTGTTAGTATTGACTGCAGATCTCATGGCATCAAGTCAGATTTGGGCAAGGAAGCATCTTGATTCATACCTACTGCTCATCCTTGATTGAATCAGTCGGCCCCCATGTTGAACAATTGGAAGAAAGACAGTGGAAAGGGCATACCCTGGGGTGTTTTCCACATTACTGGTTGGGTACTAGTGTTTAGCTGTACTGAAATAGCTTGACTTGGGTTGTGGCGAGTTTGGGAATGTGAATCAAGGCAAAAACACTCTGCTAGTTGGAGTCACGAGGCACAAAGGAAGATGGTTGTAACTGTTAGGAACTCTCATCTCATCCTGGAACTGACTGCAGGAGTTCCTCCCATGTGGAATCCAAAGTCTACCATCTTCAGCTGCCTTATCCATGACCTTTCCTCCAAAAGATTACATGAGGGGTCACTGATGTTCAACACCCTCTGTTAATCCTCACTACTGAATCAAGATGGTGTTTATATGCAGCGAGGCCAAGACAAAATCCAGGCTTGGGCTGACATGTAATGTGGATGTTAGTTGCTGCTGAAGATGATAATTATTTAATGTCATCAGAGAGAACCTAACCATCTTCCCTTAACATTCAAAGGCATTACTATCACTAAATTTAAATGAAGTAGCTACAGAGATAATAAATGCGTTGGTTGTAATCTTCCAGGGAATCCTTAGATTCTAGATAAGTCCCAGAAGATTGGAAAACTTACCACAGTGACTCCTATCTTGAAAATGAAAGGAGACAAGCCAGGGAATTACATGCCTTTTAGCTTAACTATGTGTTTGTTTGGAACATAAGAGTCTATTATAAAAGGATGTAATAGCAGTGTGTTTAGAAATGCATTGCATGATCAAGCAGAGTCAATGTGACTCCCAAGTGGGAAATTGAGCCTGACAAACTTACTAGAATTCTTTTTGAGCAAGGAGGAAGCTGTGGATGTTACATACTTGGATTTTCTGAAGGCACTTGGCAAAGTATCGTACATTATGGACTTTTATTAAGTAGCCCCTTGTTGGAGATACTATATTAGCATAGTTAGAGGATTAGCTGATCAACAGAAGATAGAATTGGGATAAGAGATGGCAAACTGTGAGTTAGTGGTGTGCCACAGGAATCTGTACTAGGCTACGATCATTGACAACCTGTAGGATCTCTACATTGCGGAAGCAGCCCATCGAGTCCACACCAACACTATCCCTGTAACCCTGCATTTCCCACGGCTAATCCACGTAGCCTGCACATCCCTGACACTACAGGACAAGTGAGCATGGCCAATCTACCAAATGCCCACATCTTTGGACTGTGGGAGGAAACCGGAGCACCCGAAGAAAACCCGGGCAGACACCAGGAGAATGTCTGCGTGGCTTTTGCACAGTCACCCGAGGGTGGAATTGAACCTAGGTCCCTGGTGCTCTGAGGCAGCAGTACTGACCATTGTGCCAGTGCTTATAACAAAAATAAGGAACATGCTATGCCACAGTGAACTAATGTGCTTAACCTAAGCAAACCAATTCTACTACATCTAACTTCATTGTATTGATGACCTATTGAGGAAAGTGAATGTATTACAGCCTTGAGTCTTGTTGGACGTGTACTCAAAAGGCAAGTGGAAAATATTCCATCATACTCAAATGTGCATTTATAGATGGGTGACAGACAGCAAGTTACTTGTTGCACAGGTCCTAGTCTCCCCCACTTACGGTGGCACAAAAATGGTGGTGATGGTCTGCAGAAGGCTGCAGGCAAAAACTTAGCAGGTGGAATATAAATGGAAATAGATTATGCATTTTGGCAGGCAGAAGGGCTGAATATTATTAAAATAGAGCCTATAGAATGTAGTACAACAGATGGATTTGGGAATCCTTGTCCATGAATTACAAAAAGCTAACATCCAAGTTGACTGGATAGTAGGGAAGGTAAATGGAATGTTGGCCTTTATTTCAAAGGGATTGGAGTATAAAAATAGGGAAGTTTTGCTAAAATTGGACAAGCTATTAGTCACACCACAGCTGGAAAGTGCAGTTTGGGCCCCTTTTATCAAAGTAAAGATACTGGCATTGGAGATGGTCCAGAAAACATTGAGTAGTCTGATACCATATATAGATGCTCTGCCTTTGAGGAAAGGTTGAGTAGGTTGGAATTTAGGAGAATGAGAGGCCACTTGATTGAAGCATGTAAGATTATTTGGGGATTTGACAGGGTAGATATGGAAAAGTGTATTTTTTTCCCTTGTGGGAGAATCTAGATCTAGATGACACAATCTCAGAATAAGGAGTCGCATGTTTAAGACCAATGAGGAATTTCTTCTGAGGATGTTGAATCTGTGGAATTGTTTACTTTGGAGGCTGCCAAGGTTGTCTGTCGCTTAGTACCATCAAGACAGATGCATGTTTTTAATCAAGTGAGGGAATCGCTGGTTATAGGGAAAAGACAGGAAATTGGAGTTGAGGATTATCGCCTCAACCATGATCCCAATGAATGGTAGAGTAGACTTGATGGGCTGAATGGTTTACTTGTCCTCCCATGTCTCATGATCTTATTAACATACTGGGGGCTACTGTTGACTGAAATGAACTGGATCAACCATTTCAATACTGCTGACAAGTGGGTGAGACTAGGATCTGTACAAGTTACTCGCTATCTGTCCATCATCTAGGATGGATATTCAGGAGTGTGAAATATTTTCTAATTGCCTTTCGAGTGCAGCTCCAACAAAACACGCTGTATGCTCGACACTACCCAGAAGCCCAGTTGATAGATGTCCATCCACCATCCTCAACATCCACTCCCTTCACCTCTGCACAGTGCCAGCAGTATACCATTTACAAGATGCACTGCAGCAACTTGTCCATGTTCTTTGAGAACATTTTCTAAACCTGTGACTTGTGCCACTTAGAAGGGCATGGTCATCAGTTGCCTGGCAACACCACTGCCTGCAAGTTCTCTAAGTTGTATACCAGCCTGACTTGGAACTGCATTGCCATTCCTTCTTTGTGTCACTGGAACTGTCAAAATCCTGAACTCCTTTCCCAGCAGCAGTTCAAGAAGGCAGCTCATTGCCAATTGGCTGCAAGTAGGAAGGCAATAGGCAATAACTGCTGGCCTAGCCAGTGATGCCTACATCCCATGAATGACAGATCTGTCATTATCAGGTCTTCGAATTCTTACTTCATGTCCAGAATCTGTTTTTTTTTCTTGTGCGTATGCTGCCTGTTGTTTTATTCTTCTTCTCTGCACATAGACTGAGGTACAGCAAAAGAACTATCCTTCACTTCTGCAGCTAGTCGGTGCAGAGTTAAACATTTTTATGAGCTAGTTTGTTCTGCCTTTCTACTCTTGCAGAAGAGAGCTGGAAATAAAATCAACTCACATTTACTTGAGGCTGGAAGCTGGTTAGCAATTTATCTGAATTTTGGTGTACATATAGAATCATACCTTTTTGCTACCTGCTACCTGTAGTTTTAAAATGCATGCAGGCAAAGATTTTAATGTATTGCCTCTGTCCCATCTGATCAGCATTTTATAGATTTCCATTATCGGAAATGTTTAGGTGGGTAACAAATTTATTTGCTGATCTTAATTTTTTTTTAAAATGTAGGATCAAAGGCAAACTGAAGCAATTGGTTTACTTCAAGGACAACTTGCAAACATGACAGAACTGGTTAGAAATCTATCTGAAACAGTGATAAAACTGGAACATGAGGTAAATAATCTGTCACTGCTTGATGTGCAATAGAGTCACATTCAAATTGAGACTATTTTGAAGTTGCATTACTTAACTGTATTCTTGCTTTGTTTCTCAATTAAGGGCTAGAACCGTGTTTGTTCATAATGTTCTTGTATTAAGTTGGATTCATAATTTGATATGTTGACACCACATGGGGCAATTTCTTCCAGCACAATGAGCTGGAAATAGATACTCCATGTAAAAAGCCATAATGTTGTTTGTGATAGCAAATGTTGCAATTACATGACCCAGATTTTAAATGTCAACTGAAAAGTGAATGCTGATGTACCATTTTAATTTGGGCTGTTAATAATGCAGTGCGTTGCCTCTTAGGTTGCAGACCGCCAGAGCTACCTTGTGGTTTCTTTAGCTCTCTGTATAATTCTCGTAATACTGCTTTGTGTGCAGCGATGTTGGAACAGACCGATATCACATGACATTCACTCACCTACCATTCCCAAAAGCAATCACTACCCAAGCCCAAAAAGGTAAATGATGATTTGTTAGGGGTGTGTGCGCGTGCATGTTAATATATTAATTAATGCATGGAACTCCTATGTTTTGTTTAGTCAAAAGAAATTTGTAATGCATTGCACCTTTTGGCAGTTTCCGTGACATCTTTTCGATGTGTGTGCAGCGATGTTCCCATGGCAATATCCTGACCAATCAGTCTAGTTGAAGAGCTGAAATTTGACAGTAAACTGTTCCTGTTGCATTCTCCATGCCAACAATAGCCCATCCAATCAATACTCTCTTCCTTTGCTCTATAATTTGGTGTTCTTTTTACAAATCTGGTTTCTTGTGTGCTAGTCCTGATGAGTGCAAAAGACAAGTTTGCTAAAAGCAATGTTTATTATTTTTGTGTGTTTTTAGATGGAGACCAGAGTTACAATAAAATAAGTTTTTTTTTAGATAAAAGTTATTATTAGAGTTATTTCTTTAACTTCAGTGGAAACCTACAGCAAACTCCACCTTCTAATGGGATCTGTAGGAAACCTGTATTCTTGTGCAAATATGTTGTGTTAACTTCAGGGGGCTCCATGGTTTGAATATAATATTCCGAGTGCAAGCTGGGAAGAGAATGCATTTTGCCTCAACCAGTCTGGTATTTGTATTATCAAATGATCTTGGTTTTCTTTTGATCAGGAAAGGAAATTGTAAAAACACAACTTGCTATCCTGTCTGTGTACCCCTACCCGTTTCTCTCTGTTACTCAATTGCATATGTATGCAGTATGTAACACTGAATCATTATAAAATGTTGATCGTATTTAATCACACTTTAGTTGATCATCCAGGTCCTAAAGCTACAATTTGAATCTGTTAGTTGTAAGTTTTGTACAAAAAGGGTCAAGTTGAATACTGTCCTTTTTTAATTGATTTTGCTTTTAGTGGCTATTTCAGCTAAGTAATTCATGTACAGGGGTACTTGAAGGAAATAGCAAACCTATCATTTAAAACCCCATAGTTAATTTTCCAGGACCCCACGCCAGCTTTGGCTGAGGGCAATTATCCTGTCCTATGCTTTTTGAGGGACTTAAGATTCAGAACATACGTGGGAATTTTTTTTTGATTAATTCTCATTTTTCTTCCTGACTTTTGTGGAAGCGTTTGCACCCGATTTGACACATCTGCAACATGGTTTTGATTGTTAATTTTGAACTGTGAATGAAATGAAGTACTTTCTCGATTTGAAGTATTGATACATGACCAGTTCCTTACTAACCTTTTTTTTTTTGAAGTTTCAAAATCGGCTCCAGATGTTTTTCTGTTCTGGGTGATAAGTTAAGCATTAAGAGGCTTAGAGGTTTTCTTACTGAATTCTAAAGGAACTCATTTAAAGTTTCCTGTTTCAGGATGACCAAGACTACTTGATTATATACAAAATATCTTCAATGTGTATGTATTTAAAATTAACAGAAGTTAGCAGTGGCACAATTTCATTCTAACACTTTTGTAGAGAAAAGGGAAAAATGGAGGGTGATTAATGTTTTACATTCTCCCCAGTTTTTCTCTTGCACAGCCTTCAGTGCATAAGCTACAAACCAAGTGCTAGAGTAGCAGTTTTGGAGCAAGAAAGTGTTAATGTTTCAAGTCCAATATAACTCCTCTTCCAAAGACATTGGGGTTGAAATTTTTTCACTTTGTTTCCTTCCCTCAGATGCTGCTGGACCTCTTTCTCCAGCACCTAATTATTGTTCTATCTCCAGCATCTGCGGTACTTTTGTACATAAAACATAGAACAGTACAGCACAGTACAGGCCCTTCTTCCCACTATATTGTGCCGACCTATTATCCTACTAAGATCAAACAACCCCGCATACCCTACATTTTACTATCCTCCATGTGCCTATCCAAGAGTCGCTTAAATGTCCCTAATGTATCTGACCCCACTACCACTGCCGGCAGCACATTTTACGTGCCCATCACTCTGCAAAGAACCTATCTCTGACATCTCCCCTATATCTTCCTCCAATCACCTTAAAGTTATGCCCCCTTGTAATAGTCATTTCCACCCTGGGAATAAGTCTCTGACTATCCACTCTATCGATGCCTCTCGTCGTCTTGTACACCTCTATGAAGTCACCTCTCGTCCTTCACACCAATGAGAAAAGCCCTAGCTCCCTCAACTTTTCCTCATAAGACCTGCACTCTAAAGTTTCCACATCCTTCCTAGAGACGACCAGAATGGAACACAGTATTCTAAGTGTGGTCTAACCAGGGTTTTCTGGAGCTGCAGCATAACCTCACAGCTGTTTAAACTCAATTCCCCGCCAATGAAAGCCAACACACCTTGCGCCTTCTTTACAACCCTATCAACTCGGGTAGCAACTTTGAGGGATCTCTGGATGTGGACCCCAAGATCACTCTGTTCCTCCACACTGCCGAGAATCCTGCCATTAACCCTGTATTTTGCATTCAAATTCACCCTTCCAAAATGAATCACTTCACTTCTTTTTTTCTGCGTTGAATTCCATCTGCCACTTTTTTGCCTAGCTCTGCATCCTGTCGATGTCATGTTGCAACCTACAACAGCCCTCCACGCTGCCCACAACTCCAACCTTGTAGCTTTTCAAACAAAGACAGAAAAGATGATGTTGCAGCAAAACATACAACACGTTCCCTCTTTCACTTACTTGTGGGTGAGTTTATGCTTTAGGTCATCCTTGAATTGCTATGGCCTGGGACTTGCAACATAGCCATCAACTGAATTTGAAATAATTACATTAAATTTTTTCAAAAAGTGGCAGAGTTTCTAAATTTTATCGCGGAATAAAATTCTTAATTCAAATGAGTTACCTAGTGTGTTTCTACAATTTTAAGTGTTTTGAGATAAAATCTGAAAAATATCCTGCCAAGTTTCATTTCCACTTTGGTAAGTATGTGGTGACTGGTTTTTGCAATCCATAATTCAAACCTTGTGTTCTAATTACTTAGCTCCTTTGTTTTATATTATATAGATGTTTTTCTTCCTATGATGACATGAATCTTCGCAGGCGAACATCGTTCCCCCTTGTTCGGTCAAAATCATTTCAGTTACCTACAACAGAAGGTATGGAGCTGGACAGTTACCATTTAATATCAGTTTTAAACTGTTTAAATATCTGTACTGAAATTGGAAAAGTTGCGCAGTACCTGTCTAAAATCTTTGGTTAAAATATTTACATAGTTGACTTATTTTGATGTTTTTCTTTCCTCGTTATTTGTTAGTGCATGGTTATCAACGAGAGAACAGTTTATCACCACCAGAGGAAAGGTTCAGGGGCCAGAGCAATATGTCAGTCAGTGAAGTTGTACCATCGGAAGGCAGCTCAGTTGAAGGCAACTCAGTGCGAGCAGGATCTTTTCTTTAACTATGTATTGCTGAATAAAAGTTGTGAAACCGTGATTTGACAACGAGTGGAAGAATTTTTAATACTAAGACCATCCTAAACATATGTGAGATGTTTTCCTGTTCCAGGTTTGAAGGCAATTTAAGATAATCTTGCTTATGTTACACCTGACTAAATTAATGAAGTAGTTTGGAATTCAGCACCTACTTTGCAATAAGTGAATACGCAAGCGGTCCCTCTGAATTGGAAGCAGGACAGTTGCAGGATAGTATGGTGCTTGTTATTGCAACAGTAATCCAGAGGATTTGACTAATAATCCAGAAAAATAATTCAAATCCTAAAGTGGCAGATTTTAAATTCTGTTGAAAATGGCTGTAAGTAGTGTGACAACTAGGCCTTTAGATTATTTTAAAGGTTCTTCAGGGAAGGAAAATTCTGCTCCTTGCCAGATGTGACCTGTGACTACAGTTTGGTTGAATGTCAACTGCCTTTTGAGCTGGCTGAGAAATCCACTTGTATCAAATTTCAATAGAGCATAACCAGCAGCAGTTCGTGAATTAGCCCATGGTTACCTCAATCAGCTATTCCAGTAACTCCAACACTGTCAAGTATAAATAAAAAACTTCAATTACAAACAAATTTGTTTTTAAACAAAAATTTTATCCAACTTGTATTGTAAGCTCAAGTGTGGATAAGACATTCTCTTTAGCAATTTTTACTGCTGCTGTTTTAAATTGGTCTTGTCTTCTAATCATTTGGTTGCATGCATTTTCATCTTGAACAATTGCAAGAAAGGAGCTGAATTTGAAGTCCATGGTTAAAATGAGGTAAAAGGCAGGTGCAGGTGACCTTGTTTGGTGTGAATCGTACCCCATCCCTCCACTTAACGTTACTGAAATAAGGACACTATTCAAAGACTTATTTCAATGTAACTTGAATTTTTTGGAAGTATTTCACCTTGTTTGATAATGTTAGTTCTGTTTTGTTGAAAAGCAGGATGGAGGATCATATAACACCAGTTTTATCTCGAAGTTGTGTACAAAAATTGATGTTCTCCAAAGTAGGATGAAATATGTTAGTCTCTGTATGCAAACTCCAAACAGCATCTGAAATGATTTTTTTCTCACTTGGGATTCTCAAGAAATTGGAAATTGAGTTTATTTGCAGAAATATCAAATTGCTTACAATTTTCTCTGCAGACAAGAGAGCCATTTACTTTAGTAGGCAAATTGTAAATAAATGTAATTATGCTATTTGATCTTGAGTCTTTCCACTTAATTTGTGATTTGATTTAGCAAATGTAAATCCTTTTCTGAACCATTTCATCAATGAATAATATCAATATGCATTTCTGTCTCTTCTAGTGGGCCCAGATGACTTGTACATTGTAGAACCGCTAAAGTTTTTACAGGACAATAAAAAGGTATAATTACATATGCCATAGAGTATTGCTTAATTTGGATTTTCTGCAGCTTAGTACCAATTACCTGTAGCTTAACATTTGCCAACAATGTTTTAGTCTCTCTACCAGAAGAGATGTCTTCTCTTTCTCTTCAAACTTGCAAAAGTTTTAAGTTTTCATTTTGTTTCCTTCACTAGAAAAAACGCTGCAGAGCGAAAACAGAGAAGGTTCAAACCACAAAACCTACAGAGTCTGTAATTCCAATAGTTAACGGCGGGATAAAACCTTGCAAACCTCTTTCAAATCCAAGTGACTTTTCTACCACGGGTGTTGTCTACAGTTCTTCTCACAAAGGTCCCCCATCTGAAGGGGGTTCAGAGACCTCCTCGCAATCAGAAGAATCCTATTTCTGTGGAATTTCAGCCTGCACAAGCCTCTGCAATGGACAACCACAAAAGACTAAAACTGAAAAACGATCTTTAAAAAGGAAGAAGTCAAAGGTCACAGATCAAGGGAAGTTCATTAGTAACTTGATACAGACTAAATCGGGATCAATGCCAAGTTTGCATGACATAATAAAAGGAAACAAAGACATTACAGTGGGAACACTTGGTGTCCCAACAGTTTCAGGCCATGTGTGATTGTGATTTGTCGACTTGGGGTTAGAACTATCTCTTCCTGCTCTGTGTTATGGTTTGCAAGGTACTTTTTTTGCCTTGCAGTGTCTGAACTTCAAACTACTAATCTGCCAATGCGAGAGTTTTCAGGGTAGAGAGTTGCACTTTTTCCACTGTCTCTCGGGAAACAGCACGTTTATTTTGAAGGGTTCGTAAGATGGAAGATGAGTCTCTAACTTGGCAAGACGTGGAATTAATTGGATGGAGAATCAGCATAATTAACTGGTTACAGGTGGAACAGGTTTTAAACCATAACTTCTGTGTCGAGCTGTATTCCTGTTTCTTGCACCTTTCCATATTTGTGCCTTTGTATATTTATAATGTAGCTGAAAGATGGAATATTCCATCTCCGATTTACCTTGGTGTTCAGCTTTCCTTTTTAAGTATACAGAATTTGACAGTGTAACACTATAGTGCTGCAGAGATGGCCTGCGCATAGTCAGTTGAACTTAAATTCCAAAAGTAAAATGAAAAAGGTTACAGGACAGTGGGAGGGAGTTTCAATGAATTTTTTTGCCCAGCAAATTGATTTTTTTATATTCATTTCCTTGTAGGTGAACTGATTAAATTGGTTACAGATTTGTGTGCATTTACCCTGGTACTTTCACATCCTGGTACAGTGTTTTTATTTGAGATATATATTAGAAAGGTGATGTGTGAAAATGCGTTTTTTGAATGTATATATTTGTGAGTGAATGAGCATTTGAAGAGAGCATTCTTCAATGGTGGGACATACATGAGATGTTTAAATCATTAACTTATAGTTCAATGTGCACTTTCACTTTTTTTTTATTCCAATGCCTTTTGCTGAATTGGAGTTTGTCATAGCTTGTGTAACTAATTTAATACTGGATTTCAAGTGTTCTGTGTCCTGTCCACCCCCTACCCCCATTGGGTTTTACTCCAGTGAGGTAATCTTACCCAGCTGATCTGCATATTAGCCAGTTACAGCACTTGAGGACCGTTTATGGGCTTGAGAGGGTCCAAAGTTGAGCAACATTATTTATGTTTTTAAAATTTGTCATGTTTTGAGTGCTATGCACATCACTGTGGAACATGAGCATAATGTGACTGCAGAGCTGTAGTGCCATTAGAAAACTGTGAATTTCTAAATAAAACTGAACACTTCATTGTCTTTTTGTTCTGTTTAAAGTATGTTGAATTTCCTGTTGTCCCTCCCTTTTTAATAGATATTAAAAGAAACTAAACACTTTTTTTTTGTTTTTTATGCAGTCAAACTAAAGGTGGGATATTTCATGGATAACTAGACGTTTTTCTTGTCATTATTGTTACATTTGCAATCAGCTGCACTTTTTAACCAAGTGACAGGATCTGAATCAGTGAACCAATACAATTTCCCATGATATTGCTTGAAGATTTGACTCTTGTTCAAGTGGTTGCTGCTATGGACTGAAAGATGTTCTGCTAATCTTGTCTGGTAATGGAGGTCTCTACAATCTGTTTGATATCAAACTTTATGCATCATTTTCAAATCTGAAATTGTCTCTATATCCCCCCCTCCTTGTTTGACATGCAACTATAAGACATTAGATTTTTCTTTAAAAACTGAATATATGCTTTTCCCTTTCTTGGCCCTAACCCTAAAATTAAATGCCTTTCCTCCTTACTGTTTCTGTTAAAACACATTGCTGCTTATTCCCTCATCCTACTTAGGATATGTCTCTGTCAAGTTTTCCTGTCTGTCTCTATTTTACTCCTCCTGCTTTTATAAAATCTAGGAGTTCATATACTCTCTCATTTTTGATTTCACTTGACCTTGTGTACGCCCTCTCTGCCTCTGCCAAGCCATGCTAGTTTCTGCTGCTTTTTGGTCATTCCACCTATCTTGTTATCATTGCTTCAGAGTAATGCAGAATTTTACGCTTTGATAACCAGGCCAAATTTTTATTTAAGCACTTTTTTTTTTAAACTGAGTGGCCTTGCAGTGTATTCCCTTTCCCTATGGCAAGTTTATACAGACTTTTCAGTAATGCTCACTTTCTAAAGAGACAGATGCACTGGGCAGGTACCAGGGTTTGACCAATTCCACCAGACCTTTTGTATCTGATGTTTGTACTGCCTGTTTTGGGCACTGACTTCTATCAGTTGCTTGTAGGTGGAGATCAGTGGGTAGTGGTTTAAGACTTGAACACATTAAAGATTGTCAAGAGAACAAAGGGCAATTGTTACGATTTATATTCCCAAGTAGGTATTTTGCATATTAACTGAAATGGAGTTTTATTCCAGTTCACTTACCAAAATCCAAAATGTTAGCAATTTTAAGATTTGCATCTTGTCTAGCTTCACCTTTTTTTTTTATATAGTTTAAAATTTGAGATACCTCCAATGGCAACCATTTCCCAAGCTAATTCTCAAACTATTGCAACCCATCTTCATGTACTACTTAGACTTATTCTTAATCTGATTTATCTAAAAACATGTTCACTTTTAGATGATTAACTAAACATACAGTAGTGTATTTTTATGTAAGTCTTTGAAACTGTTGGCATTCTATTGCTTTGAATGATTTGACTGGTTTAAAATAATTACACCACTTTTAAAAGTTGGCTTGGATCTGACTGGAATATCAAACCATAAAGTAAGTGCATAAAACTGATTTCAGTTCTAAACTCAACTCTTTCTTACTCATCAAAGAGTTTTTTGAAAAGAATGTCTAATGGCATGTTAGCATATTGCTGAATATCTGCAGTAACAAATGCTCACCTGTTATGAGTAAAATTTTGTTATCTCTTCTAAGTTAGCAGAATTTTGCTTTTGAGCAATGAAACAAAAAAAAACTTTGCAATATCATTTTGGGGATTGGATTGCAGCACACAAGCTGCAAACTCAAAAGATTATAGTCAAACGCTTGCACTTTTGTTCTGTGCACTAGTGCTGTTAAGTTATTCCAGAATAACAAGACACCACTGATGCAGTCAAGTGTGATAACTGATTTATACAGTATCGGAGTATAACACTTGGTTGTAATTTTGAAATATTTTTCTGCAGTTATTTGCCAAGCCAAATCAGACAGTTTTCATATCAAGAAGTTAGTTGGCAGTAGAGTATGCCCACTTCTTTTGGTTTGAAAAGTAGCTACGCAAGTGCTAGATATCTCTGCTTTAATCTGGTAACTGGAAATTGTGTTGTAATGCTATGTTCCAATGTAGAATGCTATGGAATGACAGACGTTTGGACAATTTAGTATTGACAAGAAAAATAATTTTTAAAAAAGGGTCTTTAGATATCATGAAGGTTTTCTGTTTTTGAGCAGCTTCCTTTAGCTTAGTTATTTTCAGACCATAGCTGAGTCCTTTCTGAGCTGAGATGCATTAGTACATACGTGGATATTATGCTGAGTAATGTCTCAAATGTGTCAGTAGGTGGTGCCAGTTTAACAGTGAATAAATTTGAGTAAATTTCAGTTGTTGTTGCCCATCTTCCTGCGGTATAGCAAAAATTTTCAATGAGGTGGAAGACTCAAGTGTTAACTAAAGTTCTGGCCAATAATTTGTTCATGCTGAGTGCATCTTTCTGTAATGATGTCAGTGCCCATGTGCATTGGTACTCCTCCATGCAGTTGCTATTTCAGTGAGGTTGTTAGTCCATGTGTACGGAGACTGCACAGGTAGTTTGTTCGGTGATGTCATTCAATATATACTGATTTGAACAAACCAGTGCAAACCTTTTAACCATGCACAGCGTAATGTGCATTCTGTAGTCTGGCATGGCTGACTAGCAACAGCAAGGAAAGCAGCAATGGGGTGACCACACTCATCCTGAGAGGAAAAGTTCGTACTGAGTAGTGCCTTGTGCCACTTGGACATATGGTGCCTCAGCATGCTGACCTGTTGTGACATTCTGTAAGCCCTTTGTGTGTACTGTTATCCCTATCTGGTAGCAAGCTATATTTGCACGACCTCCGTCTGAGCTTTTGCTGCACCACTGGAGATATTGAATAGCTTTTTCCCCTTTTGCACTGGAAGCTGAGATAATCATGAAATACTGCATTAAAATAATTATGTTTGCGAATGTCCTTTGATGTTGGCTCCACCACTTGAACTGAAGCTTTTCACACAGTCCTGTGCCAAGTTGGCTCTGGGCTCTTCCATGCTTCTTGACATTCACTGCATGCTATGTGGTAGACCTTTTGCTGGAGAAGCTTATCACCCATTGTCTTCTGTAACCTGCTTCATCAAAGTTCTCATTTAGAATAGAATAGCCTTTATTGTCACATGCAATTGAATGATTAGGTGACAAGTTTTGTTTTGTAATGTTGCTGCTTTGGTGTCATCTTGGGTACAGGATAACTAGGTTCAGCATACTTCTTTCTTCCAGAATTGAGAGTAAAAAGTTTCAGCATAGGAATACAGTTTTTAAAAAGTACTCAAATTACAGTCAGTGTCCACTTGTCTCCCAGGCAGGCCTGGACTAGGACTGCCTTCTGTGCCGGACTCTTGCCTGTGACATGCCTCGAGGACTCGTCTCCCACACTGGCATGGTCTCTGACTTGTTTCCTGTGCTGGCCTGGACTTGGACTCTCCACCTCCATTCTCCCTCTTGGTTAATTTAAGAAGTTAAAAGTTGGGTGGAGGACAGCAAGAAGACTGCAGGAAGGAAGCAGACGAGTTCTGGCTGGAGCGTCCTACTCTACAGCCATCTTTGACTTGTGTGGTAGAACTTGTGTATAACTTCACCCCTGATTTGGCTCAGTGTGAGCCCATCCCACTTTTTTAGCTGTCTTCCATTCATGCAGCATTAATATCTGAGCTGGTGGCTGAGAGTTACTATATCTTTATCATGATCTTCCTCTTGCTAGTCCACTGCTGCCTGATCAGGTTGCAGATCTTGTGGATTGCTACTTGCAAATACCTAAGGGCAGGAGATTGGGAGGAAAAGCAAGTGCTTCCAACTACAGCCAGTAAATTTGAGATGCCCTGTAATAGAAAAAGGATTGGGTATGAACATTGGCAGTGAAAGGCAAAAATCACTGACAGTGTCAGTCATGGCAGTCCACTGATGTCAAGCACTGCCCTGTGGGGAGGCAAGGATGTGGAATTTTGCCCGACCCATTCTGGCTTGATTATCCACCACTTTGAATGGTGGGAGAAAGTGTCAATGTGATGCAACATATTTGTCATGGCTGCTGTATTTGAACTGGTTTGTGTGCAAGCTGTAGGATGTGTTCCAAATCTCTCAACCCCATGTCTGAGAATGAGGTGAAGCATGTGAATATTTGGGATGAGTTTTGATTTAGTAGAGATTGGAGATGAATGATGTGGATATGGTGCAGTTGGTGGGATATTGCATTTGAAGATGTTCATTGAACACACATCAGCATCCAGGTTTTTGGAGCTGGAGTGCTGGTGTTAGCCATTGTGGGCATCTCTAGGTGATGGGACCAAACTATCTGGAGAAGCATCATGTGGATCGATGACTTCACTCATCTCTTTACCTTTTATGCATCCAGGTTTTCAAAACTTTTTTTTAAACAAAATCTTGGTATTTAATTTTTCTTCCCCCTTTTGTGTGCATTCTGTCTTTTACTCGTTTAACTAAACTTAAAGAATGACCTCAGTACCTGTTCCAGGCACAAGACAATGCCCTTTCAAGAAGTGTAGGCTCACTCAAATTCATTTAAAAAAAACTTGAAAGTAGCACCAAATGTACGAGCACTTAGTATGCTTAGTGTTTGTTTTGCACAATTGAGTGGGACAGACTGTTGTTTGCATGCTGCCTACATTGGAAGTATTGCGTGCATGCCCTAAGGTGTAATCTGAAATTATTGCATGCAAGAAAGCATAAGAGCATGAAGAACAATTGAGAATAAGAATAGAGTTTTTTTTTGATTGTGAAATCTTGACTCTCCATACCCAAATTTATTGGAAGTAAAAACAGAAGACACTGCAAACATCCTGCTCCTGTTCAGCATCTTGAAAAGAAACAATGTCAGGTTAATGACCATAATTTATATAATCCTGTTGTATTAGAAATTACCTAAATGGTTTCTTTAATCATTATCACTCGTGAATTCAAGTTTTTCCAATTATTCATGATCAAAATTGCAAAACAGCAGGTAATTCAAGTAACTCAGTTAAGATTTAGAACTATTGATGTTTTTTTAATGTGTACATA